TGTTTCTCTCTCAAAAAAGAAAAAAAAGAGTTGCTAGATTATGCTAAAGCATTGTTACACATTCAATATGTCTATATATATATGGATGAAAACCGAGCTTTCATTTGGAAATATGAAAGAAAATACAAGGGACAACAAAAAACGAGCTTCACAAAAGGGGTTCAAGCCCTAACTATGCATAAATTGAGCTGTCATCAATTGTTACACATTCATTACATAGGTTTAAGAGATTGAAATTTACCATCAACAAACTAACTTGGTCTATAGACTATACTAGCATATTTTATCTCTCAAAGATCTTAAGATTCTTATGGCTGTTAGTTATGGTTATTTGGTGCTTTGCTTCTATAGGGTGTAAATGGTTCAGTTAGTTTTGGCTAAAAGCAACACTGAGTTAGGCAAATTTAAAAGAAAAATGGACCTTCTTTGAGTTAGAAAGTCAAACCAACTGCTCAGGGATTGACTAATACTTATTAGCCATACCAATTGAACTTGCGCTGTATGTTTGCCGCCTCTTTTTTTTTTTTTTGAATGAGAAACAATTTCATTGATATATGAGATTTCAAAACAAAAGTAGGAAATCCCTATCCACGGGAGTTTATATATATATATATATATAAGAAACAGATAATTTCATTATCGAGAAAGAGATATAGAAAAGTGGGGGAAAAGGCATCCCCAAACCAGCCCCAACTACACAAAAGAATACCAATTAGCATTGAAATTTACAAGGCTGTAATCACAAAACTCGCTTGAGGTAAGACACCACAAGGAGGCGAAAGAATGCCTATCCCAAAAACTCACTAGTTGTCTCCAAGCCTTTGAAAATCCTTTGATTTCTTTCAAACTTGTCTGTTTGGCTTTTTTCAGTATTAAACTTACACCTCTAGTGCTGTGGGAACTTTCTATTCATAGTTTCCTATAGTTTCGTAGCTTCTCAGTGAAAGTATCATTTTCCATCCAAAAAAAAGTAACCTCCAAGATTATGCTAATGCATTGTCATACACATTTTTACGTATGGCGAGAGTTGAGAGATTGAATTTACCATCCAGTTTGATTGAGACTAGCATGGATTACTTTCTCTAGTGCTTAAAGGTTGTTGAACTGAAGCTTTTCTGATATTTGATGCTTCTCAGTTCTCTGTGAGCTTTCTTTCATAGTATTTTTTATGTGCATGTTGTCTTGTTGCTTTCATTTTTGAATTTAAGATGGCAAACATGTGACTGATTTTCATGTTAAGTTTAGGCTTTTCACTTTTGTTCCTCTGAAGTTCTCTTATTCTCTTGATTCATGCACAGTTCGTGATCTACATGTTATTATTTGTTGAATGTTCTGTATTCATTATATTATGTCTGAACCATGTGCATTTCAGGCAGAGGCAAGATGACAAGTGGGAGCACGATCTCTATGAGGATGATGAACCTCAAACTTCAAGTATGAATTGGGTGTAATTCTATCACACGTCTAAAACCCTTCTTTTGTTAGATGGTTCTAATCAACTTTATAAGCTCTTGACTATGTTCTAATGGCTTTAAAGATCGCAAAGTTAGTGCTCGAGATCTTCGCTTGAAGCTTCAAAAGAAAAGTCTACAGCAAAGTGGAAATGCATCTTTTTCAGGAATGCGGGACCTACGTGAAAAGTTATCTGGCACAATGAAGCCACAAACTGTGAATACTGATCCCCCAAAAAAACAAAAATTGGAAGTTGCAAAAGCAACCAGAAAAAGTGATTCTGGTGAAGCTCGTCCTTCAACCACTCAAAAAGTTGCAGCCAGCCCTGCTACCAGGAAAAAGGCTGCTCAGAAGGCAAGAAACTTCTATCTCTTTTTCTATCATTTTTTATTGTTTGTGTTTTGAAGTCTGGAAATTGCACGTTAGAAAGTGTTCATTCTGCCAAACACATGATGGAGGCTAGTTGTTGTAGTCGTCAATTTCATACCTGGAAAACTTCCTTCCCGAGAAACTAACTTGTTAACATTCCTTGGGAGGGCTTCAAGATGTTATTTGTTAAATTTATCTAAGCTACCTTTCATTCTAGTTGTGGGTTGAGTAACCATGTGAACAATTGAAAGTCAGATGTTTTGCTTTTTAATTTTTCTTTTATTGATTAACAAGAGTTTTGATGCAGAGCGATACATCAATGGATGACTTTCTACAGTCCTTGGGCCTTGAAAAATATTCTATTACATTTCAAGCAGAGGAGGTATGAAAATCTTTATATTTTCATGCATATTGTAAAATCCTCTCTTTGAAGCTCTTAGCTGAGCTTCCCTGAATTAATTACAACTTTGAAACTTCTTTCATATAGGTCGATATGACAGCACTTGTACACATGGGTGATGAAGATCTCAAGGCTTTAGGAGTACCAATGGTAAACTTACAGACCACCTGTCCTGCTTTAATTTTACATTTTTGTTTGAGGTTTCTCTACTAATTAAGTGTGTTGAATTTAGTTACCTTCTTTATTATGTGCAGTTCTTTTTAATTCTATCCTCAATTTTTCTTCATGTATGCCATGCCTGTACGTTTTTGGCCATCTTTTATGATTACTAGTATGAGTTGCTGATTTGAACGCACTATCTAATGTTTCACGATAAAAAACCGGTTTTAATGATTTCTTGTATTAGATGGCTAAGCTGTGAGGTAATTCATGTTTCTTAGAAAGCTAATTGTTTCTTGAATGTCTAATATTTGAACCTATCATGACTAATGTATCAGAACGTAGCTTCTCAGATAAGGAAATATTTAGTCAATCAAAACTAATAGCTAAAAGAAGTCTTTATGAAAACTCAAACTAAGTCATAATATGCAATTGCATACATTACAGAACTTAATCAAAAGCTGACTGGAACTGAGCTGGCTTTACACACAAATAAGCAACAAACTAACATTGCTGATTCGCTCCTAAAAGTTTGAAACTCGCCTAATTCCAGATCTTTCTTCCAAGATGATGCAAACTAAAATTTATTTTAGTTTCTAGAAAGTTGACTGTTATTAATTTATTTTCTTCTTAACATATTTGAATAATTTTATGGATGAGTAAGTCAGATTTTGTTGATTAACAAGTTTGGTTTCATGTGTCACGTGTCATTCGAGTGGATTTTTCACATGTCCAAATATGTTAATTAAACAATAATGTAATGATACATTAACTTTTTGTTAACAGAATTTAACAGTTTTTCTATTTAATGGAATTCGAGAATTTCAAAAGTTTAAGGACCAAGCCATTGACTCATTGAGTATTTAGCCTAAAAAATAGTTATGTTATTACTGGAGAGTCAGCTTTGATATCATCTTGATAGCAGAAAATGCATCTATATGGTCAGTTCATTTTAACTCCATGTGAGATAACTCAAAAACAGAAGAATATTTTCAATAATTTCAAGACAATAAAGTTGCGGGACTACGTGTGTTTGTTGTTGTTTTGTTAACTCATAAATTCTTTGAATGCTTGGAAGCAAGAACCTTGTACTCAAGTTATTAGCTTCTGTTTCAGGGGCCAAGAAAGAAGATCCTTTTGGCATTGGAATCAAGAGTATAAAACATGGAAAGTGGGTCGAGTAAGTTCCTGTTCGCCTGTGTTTTATCTTTATACCCAGCTGTGAGACTACTGTGAACAAAGTAGGCCTGTCTTTTTACCAATCCAGCCGTTGTAACTCTCGTTTCCTTCTTTCTTCTTTTACTTTCTTCCATTTTTTTCGCGCTGATGTTACTGTAAGGATTGATGTTAAGGACCTCGGAAATATTTAGCTATGGATGGAAATATGGGATTTATTACAATGGGTATGGCTTAGCTGTGGTCTCAGCAAAACTCTTTTTAACACTTCCATGGCTTCCAGCTTTTGTGGTGACTTTCAGTGTTCAAATGTTCTGCACCTTAAAGGCTTCAACTTACAGAAATGTTTAGCAGTGTTTTTAGGCAATTTGTAATGGGTAGCTTTTTCTATTTAATTTTTAAAGTATGATTTTTTTAGATTCGAAATTATGGTTGATTTTAGTTGATATACCAATGAATACATCAGATTTACCATATTTAAATCTTTGGTTGACTGTTAATAATTGATTTATTAGTGTATTGGATCTGTTTGGATTTTGGTCATCATTTTCCCAACTTTCTATTGGGTGTTAAAATAATGACTATTGATTATAAGGTTAACTATATTGATTCATATTAATGCTCTGAGTTATCAAATGTGAAATAGCTATGAAATGAGACTTAAATGAGTATTTGTAAAAGACAAAAAATAGAAATAGAAAATTTAAATTATGAATGATTATTTGATTTCCAGTCTTACAAATTTAGTTTGAAAAAAAGTTTATTTATAACTTATAATTATAACAAATTATGTTTTAAGATTTAAACTATCTCACGAGTTAGTGAATATACAAAAGAGTAACGATAGCGAGTTGAATGGTCGAAATAAAATTCCAATCTACGAACAAACTATAGAAATATTCGATAAGCCAAATTGAATTAATCAAAATCCTTAAACTTAGCCAACTTGAATTAATCAAAGTCCTTAATAACTTAAACCACTGGATCTAACATTGAATCAAGTTTGTGGTGTTGAGTAAACAATAGGGCCAAGCTTATGAAGCCGACCCCAAAGGCTAAATTTTTTTTCACCATCATCAAGTTTATTTCCAATCTTGTTTGACAATTTATTATTTTAAAAAAATCTCTATTTTTATATTTTTCTATATTAATTGTCAAACATAGTAGAGATGAGTCTTCACTAATCAAGTATTATCCAACTCAAAATAAGATGACATGCTAAAATTTTACAAAAATAATATAATTCTTCTAGTTCAATGTGAAAATTGGAACTCAAATCTTCAATACCATTTGAATTATACTCACAAAAGTAACATAATTCAAATCTAACTCAAAGTCAGATATGATAAAAAATATATTAAGAAAAATATATATATATATTTTTTTTGAAATACATTGGGTATGTATTGTAAATTCTCCTTTTATTATTTTTAAAGTCGAACTAGAAGTTCTATTTTTTTAGAGGAAATCAAAGATTTAGTAAAATGGAAAGAAAACCCGACCGGTTTACGGTCTGGGGTTGGTTCACAGAGTTTTGTAGGAACCCCTACAGAACCCTCGCCCAGTTCGTGCTCCTCCTCTGCTACAGTGGCCTGTTGCAATCTAATCTCACTAAAATTTGTTGAGCCATTTTCATTTGGAAGTGATTATATGAGAATTATGAAGTTGAAAATCGTCATGCGGATTGAATTTTCGCCAAAGGTTCTATGAATCGGCTGCCCCACTAAACCCCCACGAGCTTCCGTCTTGATTCAGCCATGGCGGAAATCTCAGAGCTTTCGAGACCTTCACAAGTCGACTCTGGATCGGCGGATGCACGATTCGCTTTCGACCCCAAAACCATGCGCAAAACTAAGCCTGGATTCAAGCGTCTAATTCTTACCATCTCCGTCCTAGCCTCTTTCCTCTTAGGTCCGCTTTCTTTCCCTCTCTTGGAGCAAATGTGATTGTTGGTATGTCACTGATTGTATGATTCATGGGGATTATTATTATTATTATTTTTTTGCAGGCCTTCCATTTCTATGGAAATCCGTAGAAATCTACCGTGCACCGCTTCCGTTCAGGGACATAGATTCCCTATCTTCTCAAATAGAATCAACACCGTTGCAATTTCCCTGTAGTTTCAGGGTAATTTTTGTTGGATTCGATTCCATGGGTGTGTCCGCAGAGCGGCTAAAATCATCTATTCTCGATGAAATGACTGAATTGTCCTCGAAATCTTCAGTTTGTGGCAGTTGCGGCAACAACTACGCCGTCTCTGTAGTTATAGGATCGGGTTCCGACTGCTTGCGGACAGACACTGACGAATCCTCTTGTTCGTGGCGATGTGGAGCTCTCAGTGCTTCTGATTTTGCTGTTTCTTTGGATAAAAATGATGATGATGATGCCGACAATTTCTTGGAGCTTGCTCTGGAGGGTTGTTCGAGTTCAGCTTCTGGTGGGAGAGTCTATAGTGTAGTGGTGATGAACAGGGACGAGAATGTGGAGGTCACCATTGGAAAATATCGCCATGCTTGGATTGTTGGGAGGATTTCAGAGGCGGAAGCAGTATCGAAAGTAGCAGAAATTTTTGTGAAGTTGTTTGGTAATGGTGGAAGGGAGGAGGGATTAATTCCTGGGGAGTTTATGCCTGTTGGTGCTGATGGAAAGATTTTTCTTTCTTTTAATTTGTTGAATGCAGATCCAGATGATTGGATATATGACTGGTATGTTGCTGTCTACTACCTTCTATCTTTAGGCCGTTAATCGTTATTATTTTTGGAATAGCTTCAGCATTGAATAGAGACTCTTGATTGCAATAGATAGGTAGAATAGTAACTCTTCAGCACTGAATTGTAATTTTTTTGCTTAAATGTGGCATGCATTGTAAATTTGTAGGCCAATTTCACCCACAATACTGGGGATTGTTTCAGTCCCCTTTGGCAACCTCTATGCAGATTGAAACTTGATTGCGTGTTCATCCTGAGAAAACTATAGCTGGTATAATGATTTTTGATTGACTTCTTGATGATTACAGTCCAATCCAACCTAGAAGCTTTAATGGTTTAAGAAAAGCTCTCCAACTAGTCAAGATAAAAAAGAATAAAGACAAAACTCTTTAGTGTTGGAAGGCAAAGAGAACTATTAAGAGGCATACAGTCTCAAACCTCACCTATCCCCCTCCTGAATCCTTAAATATATTTCTATTCCCAACTTATCAAAAATCTTAATATTAGACTTAGTTAATGTGGTAACAGCTCTGTTGACTAGACTGCTTAAGATATTTATCAGTTCTGCCATTAAGAATTATATACTGAATTATAGAAAATTTTAGTTCATTGTTTTTGCAATCTATCTAATATGATTATCTGTTGTTTTTTAGGGATTTTCAGACAGTAGATGAAGTTCTATTGAAACCTTTAATTGAGGAATTAGCACCTGTAGCAAATATCTCTGTGGAGAGTCAGGTATGGTGTTATAGGCATAGAAAACTCTTTTGTAATTACAGCCTCTCATCGATTTTGCAAGATTGGAGAGCTTTTCTTCATTAGTTCGTGGGAGGGGGAGCCCTCTTCCCCCTGCCCTTAGGCTGTTTTTTTGTGGCTCTGTCCCTTCTGTCTATAAAATGTTTCTTATCTAAAAAAAAAAAGGTATGATGTTTCTCATTGAATGCTTATTGTGAGTTCATTCATTCTTCTTTTTAAGTTCATTCAATGTTTTCCAGAAGCCTTGATAATGCATGTAAATGTACTCAATCTAATCTAATTGCTAATTGTTGACTAGGTTTTATATCATACGCCAACAGCCTCCTTTTCTTACTGGGACGATAAGCAGGAAAGCTATATCTTCAATACTAAAGATCTTCCATTCTTTGTATGGTTCCTTTAGTCTTTAACTTCTATAATATGATAAATTCCTTGATGCTTGTACGTGACTTATCCCTCCTGCCACCAGGATCAACATTGTAATTGTTACATTTATATCTATCTCGATTTGTATACTTGCTTTTTCTGTTTCATAAATTACACAAAATTATGTCATTGTTTTTCGCATTTCATCTGGTCAAGAGTTCAAGGACTTTGGTCTCATCCTAATTTTTATATATTTTTTAACTTCTACTAATGCACCATCTTTTTTTTTTCTTTTCTTTTTAAATCTAATAGGTGAATTCAAATGAGTGGCATTTGGATACTTCAATTGCCGCAGGCGGGAGGTCAAAGATATTGCATTTTGTGGTGTATAATCTTTAACTCAGATCACATTTTACCAGTTTATAATCAATTTAAGAAACCAAGTGACAATCTTGTAGACTATAGTAAGATATGTTTGGAAGGTAGTTGCCACTATTACACATCATAACTTGTCTGACAATTGGAAACTCCTTAGTTTTCTGGTAGACTTCCGGTAGCTCAAGTATATATTAGAAGGCTAAGAAGATCGTGGATAAGAATTAGGATGTATTTCCAAGTACTTATTTGTAATTATTAACTGTTTTGGAGTATTTTTTGTTAATTGTAAGTTGGTTACTTTAGATGAGTAGGAGGAAGTTTAGTGGGAAAGTAGGTTGTGTTTTCTGCAAGCAGCACTTGGTGTTTTTGGGAGAGACGATAACCCACTTGAATTTGCTATCATTGACTAGTTTGTAGTTTTCTTCTTGAAAGGAATTTCTATCTTGTGAAGATACCAATCATTTCATATAGTGATGCCAGTTGTTGTTGGTTGTTGAAGGAATATGTTAATGGCTTCAGTAGTTTTAACATAAAGCTCAATTAAGGATAAACTGTGTTATATTTGTATCTTATGATATGTATGAGAAACTTGTAATAAACCTGGGACTATTTTCTATTTATGTGAGTTTTTTGGTGAAAATTTTGCTATTCTGTATCCAAAAAAGAAAATTTGCTTCTCCGTTTTTGCCCCATTTATATTGGTACATCCTAATCAAGTTTTATTTTCATTGTTAATTTCTGTTTGTTGTCAGATATGTACCATCAGCAAGGGAGTGCCCCCTTCTTTTACAGCTTCCTGATAGCCAGATTTCAGAAACAAATGGGTTTATATCTCCTGTATGACATTCTTTTTCCTGTTTACATTTATAATTTCTGTTGTTGAAGTTTCCAAATTCAAGTACAAATTATGCTATCTTCAGATGTGGGGAGGCGTAATTGTTTGGAATCCTAAAGGCTGCCTGGGAGACCCAAGTAAGCAACTCCATAGGCATATGATTTCTTATCCGGTAAGGTGTCGATACTATGTAACGAACTTCGGTATTCTATCTATTTTTCTGATTATCGATCATACACATTCTGCAACAGGATTTGGAGAAAATTGTTGAAGTTTTCCTGGGGCAGTTTCGGCAACTTTTTGGTCTGAAGTCCAATCCACAACATGTTGGTCTATCGGGCACATTCAACATTTTAACTAGCAAGAAAGGCTTTACAGAATGGTTAGGAAAAGATTTGTTTAGTCCCCAAGTTTTATTAAGTTATGATATGTTTTAGATTCAGGCCCTGTTGTTAAAACTTTAAACGGGAAAGTGTCTTATTTTCTTATATTTGTCATTTACAATCTTGAATGTTTAAGGACCAAATTAGAAATGAGGGTAAACTTCTGGGATCAAAACTATATTTTGACCCACCTTTTATATTGAATTTGTGAGCTAATATCTGATATATCATATTAATTGCATTATTATAATCCCCATGCTGATATTCTCATATCATATTTCTGTTGCAAACTTATTATATTTTGTTTCAGATATTTGTTTCATATAAAAAAAATTATATTTTGTTTCAGAGTTGAAAGAAACTTGTTTGAAGTTTTGAGGCTTCCATACGAATGAAATTTTATTGTGCTTGCCTATGTAATCCACATCTCCAATACTTTTTGTCAAATTAAGGCATTGATATGGTTTATCCATTTGCAGGGAAATGGATTTTCTGTCAAGGCAGCATTCATGTTTTAATCTTCATTCATGTGCTTCATCCCTTGGATCTCTTTCTAGATTGGTATGTACTAGATTCTTGGTTGAGTTCAAAGTAAAATCCTATAATTTAGTGATAAAATGGTGCTTGGTCCCCTTTTGGGGAAAATTTTGATTAATTTATTATGCAGGTTCAATCACTGCCGAGGATGATTATCATGGATGAGATTGGAAAACAGGTACCACCATCGCTTGTTTGTAAATCTATTTTTACGTTCCTCTTCTGGATTGAATGATTTTCTTGCGCTCAATTCTTCTATTCATTTCTAAGAGATTGGGTTTATATGTCATTCTCCAAATTGTGTTGGTCTGACGTTGGTAGTCTGAACGACAATCTTCCTGAAGGTTTCCTGGAATCACTATCTGAAATGCTTTATAGTAATATTAAAATATGAGATATGAACAGAACAGTAAATAGCACATTTGAGACAGGTAATTGATATAGTCTTATTATTTCTTTAAAATTTAATTATTTGTTTCCCAGTCTCTACTTTTGTTTATTCAACCTTGAACACCAAAAAAACAAAATAACCTTTATTTTTT